AAAAAAAAAAAAAAAAAAAGAAAAAGAAAGAAAAAAGGATCAAGTCTATTGTAAACAGCTGGTCAGCCAGCAAGTATGCAATCAATCCCCTTTGGCTTGACTTAAAAAGAAATGGCTGGGGAACGTAACCTAGTGGTAGAGTGCTTAGGTAACATTGCGAGGTGATGGGTTTGAGTCCTAACATTATGAAGGATAAAAGATTTCCTACTTCCTGTACCATCTCCATAATTTCCTTTTCTTACCTGTAAGTTCACTACTACTTGAGTCTTTTTTAACATCCTCCAAATTGCTCAATTCCAAATCCACACTTCCAAAATCATCAGAACCACAGGGAATCACTACTTCTTGATCAGAGATCCTAGAAATGGAGAAGGGATTTTATCAATTAGTTTTTCAGAAACTGCTTTGGTCTCATTATTCAATTGAAAGCCTAAATGTTCCCTTCTCAGACAGGCATTATTGATCATCAATGTAGAGTGAGTAGCCTCTCTCCATCTCAGCCCACAGTTATTTTTTGTCATGGCATTTAATCATCAATAACAATTACTTTATTCATTTGTGTTCATCTGTTTGGCTGTCTCCTATCTGACTGTAAATTCCACTAAAGGAAAATTTTGTCTACGTGGACCTCATTGTATCCCCAGCACCTACAAATTGTCAACGTCATGAGGAATGAATGGATTAGTGAGAACTACTAAGATGCTGTTAGAAACAGATTGAGGAGAATGACACCTTTCCAACCCGCCGAAAGTCTCCATGCCCTCATCTACTTTTGCTTCTTGCCATACCACATAACATTTTTAAAATACGTTATTTATCACTTCTCAGGTATTTTTAAAATGTATTTATTATTTTTGCGATACCAAGGATTGAACTCCGGACGGGTGCTTATGCTGCAGAGCTATCTTCCCAGCCCTCAATTACTTCTGATGTTCACTGCTTATCTGCTATTTCCTCCTGTTACAAGGTAAGCTCCAAAAGGGCAAAGATGGGGGCCTGGCCCTAGCTCAGTCCTTTCAGTGGCTGCTTCCACAAAGCTGTCAGCCTCAGGTTCCTGGAGTTCGAACCTCACAACTCTCCCGCTGGCCAAAAGTGCCCTGAAGGCATTCGAGGAAGGAAAAAAAAAAAAAAAAAAAAAACTTATTCCAATAGGGCAAAGATCTTTGGCTGTCTTCAATGTACCCCAGAGTCTAGAACAATGCCTAACATGTACTAATAATAAAACTGGTACAGTGATTCAGTAGATCTACATTTATTGAATGTTTAACATAGATTAATAAATAAAAGCAAGTTGCCCAACAGTGGCTATCTGATCTCACTTTCATTTAACAAAACAGTATTTTTGGAAAAATAGTAAGTATGTATATGCATATATACACATACACAAATATTGGAACATGTAGATTAACATAAAGTTCAAGCCAAACACTTGTGGAGTGAAATCGTTGGAGAAAAGTTTAATTTTTCTACCTTCATATTGCTTAAAATTTTTATGTTGGCATGTATATTAAATGTTGACAAAGATGTAGAACAAAAATAAATCATACACGTTGCAACTGCAAACTGGAAGTTGCATAGAATTACTTTGGAAATAACTTGGCATTGTTTAGAAAGTTGAAGGTGTGCATATTTACTCCTCTACTCCTAGGAGTATATTCTAGTGAAACTCCTGTCTGTGTATCTGGACTATGTAACAGAATGTCCACAGCAGTAGACATCACAGGACAAACTGGAGCCATCTGTGGCCTTCAAAGGCAAAACAGATAAACAGATAAAATGGAGAGAAGAAGTCAATGGGGAAAATATACAGTAAATTCCACTTACAAGTTAAGAAACATGCAAAACAAAACAATACTTCTTGGAGTTATAACTATACTTGGAAAACTGAGAAAAAAAAAAAAAAAAAGCAAAGAAAGTATGATCTGTAAGATGGGCAGCCCTTAGGTTCTTAGATAGGAGGGAAGAAGGAGGATAGAATGGATAGGTTCAGAAAACTTCAGAGTTATGTTTATGGTGTGTATGCATCTGCTTGTGGCACTAAGGATTGAACCCAAGCCCTTAGCACTGAGCTATATGCCCAGTCTCATTTTTTATTTTGGTCTTAGAGTCTAAGTCACTAATTTGCCCAGGTGGAGCTTGAACTTGGGATTCTCTTGCCTCAGGCTCCTAAGGTGCTGAGATTGCAGGCATGGGCCATGCATAACCACTAGATTGGTTGTGTTTTTTCTTTCACAGAATAGCTGGTACAGTTTCACTGTGTACTTATTCCTTTTTCCTTATACTTTTTTTAGTTTTGTTGTTTGAGATGGGATCTGACTACGTATTCCAGGCTAGCCTTCAATTCACTTTATAATCTAGGTGGGCCTCAAATTCATGGTAATCATTCTGCTTCAACCTCCCAAGTGCTGGGATTACAGGTGTGTGCCACCACACTCAGTCTCAATCGCCGTCCCTGTGCGCCCCAGGAGCAGGGCAGGCACAGCAGTCCAGCAGAACAAACTCCCAGCTTCTGCAACTGCCTAAGCAGGCTTTAATCTGCTGAGCTTCCCCCACCACCACCCCGGAACTGGGATTGAACTCAGACCCTTGTCAGGCAAGCGCTTATTCTACTGAGCCATCTCCTTGGCACCTTTCACTGAGCTATTTGGCCAGCCCTTAAATTGACTTTTTGACTAAGCGCTTGCTTAGACAAGTGCAGGGACCGGAGTTCAATCCCCTGTATCACATATCACATCGAGCAGGCCACCAAGACCAGGTGTGGTGCACACCTGCCTGATGTAGAGAACTACCTGAGCAGCTTTCCTTGAAAGAAGAGCAACTGTCTCCATTTTGACTGCGCCTAACCATTTTTCCTCATATTGATATGTACAGAGCTGGCTAGGACATCTGTTTTTCCTTTCAATTGGCCTTATGCAATGGCCAATATTGGTCTAGCTGAGGTGCTGGTGATAGTCTTTGAAGGTGGCGTGCTGTTTCCCTGGTAACCTTCACCTGCTGCTCTTTAATGTGAGCCAGGTTGAGACAGGAGGAGGAGCCAATGCTCAGCACTGCCAGCTGAGATCGAGCCTTAAGCCTCAAGATAAAGGCTATGACTTCCTGGGGCTTGAAAGACTACATCAAAGCTGAAGCACCTGACCCCCCAAAACATTAGTTACTATCTCAATAGCATAATGCAGATTACTTTCTCTGCATATCCTCTCTGCATATGGCAGAGGTAAATGTAGGCCACCCACCTAGCTCAGCTCACAGTACTCACCTACTTCCCACAATTCTCAGTCATTCCTCTTCAAACCACTCCTCCACTGAATAAAACCCATTGAGACCCTGGGTCAGTCTCTTTGTTCCAGAAAGCCATCTCTGTGGCTGGATTTAGAGCCCCTTGGCTCCCCAGTAATTACAAATATGTTTTAGTGTCTTTACTTTTGCCGTGGGTTGCGCTGAAAATAGTAAACTAGAATTAACTTGGTGGTATTCCAATAATATAACTTTGAGATAACAAATATTGGTTTCTTGGACTGAGATAGAGACTCCTACAACTGTAATGCCAGTGCTGGGGAGACTGAAAACAAGAGGATCACTATGAATCTGAGCTGTTTAGTGAGACCCTGTACCAAATACATAAAAAAAGAAAACTGAAAAAAAAAAAAAAAAAGAAAATTGACTTTTTAAGAAGCTGCTAGCTGTACATAGTAGCACATACTGTAATCCTAGCCCTCTGGAGGCTGACGAGTGCAGGAGAACTACTCCAAAGTAAAGGCCAGAAGGGCTGGGGAGACAGCTCAGTAGAATAAGTGCTTGCCTTGAGGGCAAGGACCTGAGTTTAATCCCTGGTTCCACCAAACACACACACACACACACACACACACACACACAGAGTCAATGCCAGAGCAGGCTACATAGTGAACCCCTATCTTCAAACACACACACACACACACACACACACACACACACACACAGGAGCTGCCAATCTCTTTCTTTCTTTTTTTCTTTCTTTCTTTTTTTAATGTTTCTAAAATAATGGTACAATTATGTTCCCAGCAGTAGTATATAAGAGTTCCAGTTGCTCTACATCCTTGCCAATATTTGATATTTTTGGTCTTTTTTTATATTGACTAGTGGATATACAGTGATGTCTCTGTGGTTTGATTTGCAAATATATATGATGTTTTTTGAGCAGGGTCTCTCCACCTAGCCCAGGACAACTCTCTACTGAGCTGTTTTTTGACCTTTTGTCTCTTGTCTCCTGTTTGTGTTTTCTGCTTTTTCTATTTCAGCCCTACCTAAGCATAGCAGCTGTAGCAATCACAAGCCATCCTACCACCCACCCTAACAGATTCGATTTTGCCCCTCCCACAACACACAACGGTAGTGCAATGGTCTGGGGTCGATCCAAATTACCAATCAATCAATCAACTACATGAATATAGTAACAGTACACATGTCACAGAATGTTAATAAGAGATTGATTAAATAACGTATATGGAGTGCTAAGTACACTGTAGGACCGTATTGTAAATGCTTAATAATTAGAGCTATTAGTTTAGATCAATCTCTTCCATGTTTGAATCTGTTAAACCTAAAATTATAGGTTCCTGGCAGTTATTGAAAAAAATTACTGATAGGTTTTGTAAATTAGATAAAGTTCACCCAGAAGGTCAATTATTAACAACTGAACTGTTTATCTTTGGAGCAAACTGCCATAATTTTCTACAGGAAAAAAAAATACGTTTGGATTGTACTGCTCTGCCCTTCCCACCGGACCACTCCGGTTCCTTTAAAATTGACCGGGCTTCAGAGAGACAGGTGAATGACAAAGCGGTCGGCCAATCACCGTAGTTAGCCAATCAGAGGCGGCCCCGTCCTCCGCCCAGCCCCAGGCCTCGTTCAATAGCATCCGGGTAGCATCTAGGTTAAGACCGTTGCGAGGCGGTCGGTTCCAAGTGGACCAGAGTGCGGGGGGGAGTCAGACCTAGACCTTGAAACCTCGAGGCCCTTTGCTTGAAAGGCCTGGAATCTTCGCCGCAGCTGCTGGGAGCTGCAAGGCCCAGCGAGACCGTGGAGACTGACCTGTTTCTAGAGCCCATCCCGCTAAGTGGAGTCTGCGGGCAGTCCCTGGTGTCCCCTCCGGCGCGCTCGTAGAGCCACCTTCCCGAGCGGAAGTCAGCCTGCGGACTGGGCTCCTGTGGGACCTGCTCGGAGGAATGGCGCCGCCGGGTGAGGAGTTGCGCATGGCTCGATGAGGGGGCTCCTTGGCCGGCACGTCTTGGGGAGTGGACTGTGGTCCGTGGGAGCCTAGTTCCAGCCACTCGGGAGCTGGCCAGGCGCGATCTCCTTTCCCTGCGGGGCAGGGGCATGGGCTTGGACTCTTGATGGTAGATGGTCTGACCGAGGACTGCGAGCTGGTGGGAGTGTCCACTACCAGTAGGGGGGTGGGGGGGGTATGCAACGCGGTGCTACGGGTCCCCCCGAGGCCCAGCCGCGGGTGGGGGGGCAGGGGTGGTAGGGGGGCTGCGCCTGTGTTCAACCTAGACCTGGCTTTCCTCATTCATTTGATTCTTGCGGACATTCTATAAGCCGTCCCGGACCCACTCATCATTTCTGAGCTTTTAGCTAATTTTTCTGTTCCTTTTCAGTAACTGAGGCAAGAAAATTGCTTAGCTCTCTCTCGGGGCTTAGAGCATGTCAGATTCTAGGTGCAAATTTAAGGAGTCTGCCACGTTTTCATTATGTGGCCCAGCTCCAGTTATTTAACCTCTCTGCACCTCAGTTTCTCACCAGTGAAGTACACTAGTCATATTATCTGCTTCTAGGGTTCTGTTTAAATGAGGTAATCTCCGTGCATACTTTAGTGCATGGCACTAAGCAAGCACTTAATAAACTTAACTGCATTGGTGGTTATTAAGTGGATTCCACAGGGTGGAATCTCTCGTCTTTATCACTGTGTGGATTTGTGCTGTTGTTAGTACCGTTAGGCAAATGAGAGGTTGGAGGCCCAGAGAAGGAAAGTAACTTGCCAAGAGAGCACAATGATTTGGCTCGTTCTTCATCTATTTGAGATGTGGAGGGTGGTGAAGCGGTTTAATTCGAAATTGGGATTCAGACTGCCTGCAGTTTGATTCTGGAATCAGTTTTTGCCTCAAGGAAGATAGCCACTTCACTTAGGTGTTGTGAGTAGTTAATGACTCAGTGAATGTGAGGTTTTTAGAACAGTTTGAGACTACCCCACACATGTTAAGTGCTCCAATTTATAGTTAGAAATGGTTACTGCTGTAAAAGGTGAGAAGATGAAGATTCTGGCAGAGTCTATGCTAGGGGAATTTGTAGCTGAGAAAATGATAGTCCGCTGGTCATTCACTAGATTATAACACATTGAGGATATGCATATACAATAGACATTGGGAATTCAGTGTTAGTATCCTGACACCTCTTTTAAATCTATTAGCAATTCTTATAGGGTTTAACTTTTTTTTTTTTTTTTTAAGATAAGGTCTTGCTAGGCAGTTCAGGCTGGCCTTAAGCTCATTTTGTAGCCCAGGCTGGTCTCAAACTCACAACTATACTCCTGCCTCAGCCTCCCAAGTGCTGGGATTACAGGTGTGAGCCGTCACACCCAGTTAGGCTTTAGCTTTGACTTCTACCCAGATTTATGACCACCTCTTGCAACTCTCCAGACCACTTTTACCTATTTACTTGGGTTGTGGCAGTAGTAGTCTTACTTATACCCTTCTGTTTTTGCTCCTGCATAGTCTGTTCTCAATGTAATATTGTCTGTTATCAAACCAGTGATCCTGTTAAAACATGAAGTCAAATGACACCTGTGCTCCGAGAGTTCCAGTAGCTCCCATCTCATTGAGTAAAAGCTGAAGTTTCCTCAGTGGCATACCAGGCTCTCTGGATTTGCCTCAGCTTCCTGTCCCTTCACTCTTTTCACCCTTTGCTTACCTTCCCTCTGACCATACTGCCCTTCATGATTTAAAAAAATGCCTTCAATACTCCTGATTCAGCATTGTATCTTCCTAAATACCTGCATGGCTTGCTCCTTTTTCAGGTCCACACGTAATACCTATTTCTTCCTTGGACCTTCACAGTTTGGACTGTGTTTAAATAGCAGCCCTGCTCATATATCCCTTTGGTGATTTTTTTTTTCTTTCTTTTTTTGGCAGAACCGGGATTGAACTCAGGCCCTTGCACTTGCCAGGCAAGCGCTTATTCTACAGAGCTATCCCCCAAGCCCTGTTTCTGCTTTTAATATGGGTGCCAGACAATTAACTTTATCATGAAGCAGTACATTCAGAAGTGTTTTGTTGTTGTTGCTTTTGTTTGTTTGCTTGTTTTGAGACCTGATCTTGCTATGTAAGTCAGGCTGGCCTTGAAGAGCCAAGGCTGGCCCCAAACTTGCGGCAGACCCCCTTGAGGTTCCCAAATGCTGGGATTACATGCATGTGCCACCAAGTCCAGCTGTTCTAAAATCTTTCTATATTGGCTCTGTGAATGGTTTTATTCATTTTCCATGTGAAGAAGCAGAGGAGCTGCTGTGGTCACCTTGCTGCTAAACAGGGGGCTACAATTTCAGCTTGGCTTGTGGGGATGGGTTCTTTTGTTCTCTGCTTCATTGGGGATCTAATTCAAGTGAGGATTGTTTTAAAAAAGAGATGCTTAACTACACTGAAGTTCCAAAGTAAAAATAAGCAAAGTTGAAGCAGGAAAAAACATGATAAAGTAGGGGTAGGAAAGAACTTGTCTCCTTGAAAAAGCAGGCCAGAGAGCATCAGATGTTGGATGAGCAAGGGAGGAGATCTGGTTGAGAAGTGACAGGGTCAGGTAGGAACTTAGCATCAGCTCTGTACTGTCCTGACTAAGAGGTGTAGGATTTTTGAATGCTCTTAAATGGGAATGGTGTGATGCGTCTTGAGCTGTAGCTGCGTGCAGCTTCTGGAATTGTCCTGACAGTTGAAGACCAGGCTCACACTCCTTCATCTTCTCTTCAGGTTATACCTCTTCCTTTTATTTTTTTAATATTTATTTTTATTTGTTTATTTATTTGGTACAGGTCTTGCTATATAGCTCAGACTCATAGTGACCCTCTTGTCTCAGCCTCCCCAGCACTGGGGTTACAGGCATGTGCCACCATCCCTGGTCTTGGGGCTGGCATGGTGCACCTGGGGCTCTGGGGCTGGCATGGCATGCAATAGCCGGGGTCAAACCTGGGTCCCTGTACTTGCCAGGCAGGTGCTTAGACTGCAGAGCTATCTCCCCAGCCCAGATTTTATCTCTTGAGTTCATTGCCCTTTCCTACATGATCTGGTTTCCAGACATTGGTGTATGTCCTTGGTGGGACTCTGTAGAATTGGGAGTCGTGTGGCGTATATTCACTGTCATTTTCCCCCAAGGTTCAAGCACTGTCTTCCTGTTGGCCCTGACAATCATAGTCAGTACCCAGGCTCTGACGCCCACTCACTACCTCACCAAACATGATGTGGAGAGATTGAAAGCCTCCCTGGACCGTCCTTTCATAAGCTTGGAATCTGCCTTCTACTCCATCGTGGGACTCAGCAGCCTCGGGGCCCAGGTGCCAGATGTAAAGGTAAGGCTGCTCTTGTCTGGGTGCCTAAGAATACTCAGGAGAACCTGAATCCCCTCACTTTGTCACTTTTAGGTACTGCTTCAACTCATGCACTTTCAGAGATAATCTAATCCGATATAAAAACTATTTATTTGAATTTGGCAGGTTTTTTGGAGGGCCTAATGTGTATTTAGGTTTGTACCGGGTGTTTTTAGTGAAATAGAACAAACCCAAGTCATTGATCCTGTAGAAATTTGTACATTTGTACCATAGCTCTGTGCATGACACTGTTTAAAACCATATGTATGTTAAGTGCCTAAGCATGTGGCTAATATTTATAGTAAGAAAATTCAAGGTGGAGGTACGTACATGTATTAAACAGTGACAGTCACTGCATCGGGGAATTCTGATATAGCTTTTAGACTTTTAATGAAATATATCATAATTAAAATGTTTTTGGATTCAAAGAAATGGTAAATGAATTGCATTCATTACGGTATCATGGACAGATGACTATAAATTTCTTTGTTTTTAAATATGTGTTTAGTACAGAGTCTACAGGGTCTCACTATGTAGATCGTTCCAGTTTTAGTATGTGTGCTGCTGAAGCGAGCACTCACTATGTAGATCGGACTCATAGTGATCCTCCTGTTTTCAGCCTCCCAAGCACTGGGATTACAGGCATGCCCCACCATGCTCAGTCTCAATTGCTGTCTCAGCTTGTCCTGGGGGCGGGGCCAGCACAGCATGCTGAGGAAAACCTGGTCCCTAGTCTGCCTAAGCAGGCACAGATGACTGTAAATTTAGGAGTTGTCTTAGTCACTTTTCTCTTGTTGTTGAGACAAAATACTTCATAGAAAAGTTAAAGGGGGAAAGGTTTATTTGGCTAACAGTTCATACAGGTTTTAGTCCATTATTGGCTAGCTCCAAGGCAGGATGGCACATGGCAGAGGAGCAACTGTTTGTGGTAGCAAAATAAGCAAGGGCCTTAACTATCTTTCTGCCCCTTTATCTGTACTACTTAGGGTGGGTAGTACTCACAGCCTTAATCCTAATGTCCTAGAGTCTAACACTACACTGTGAATTAAGTCCAACTTCACACACTCTAGATCCAGTCACCCTGAAAAAAGTCCCACCTATGACTGTATGAGGCTTTGGGGGGACATCTAGACACAAGCTGTAACAGGTGTATAAAACACTATACCCACCATTTATTAGTGCTAGTTCTGCATGTGGAAAGTCTAGGCAGGCTTGCTTGATCACAAACCACCAAGAGCTGGAATTGTTTCTATGCAATATAAGTTATCACAGACAGGGGCCGGGGACAGTGCTCAGTGGCATAAGTGCTTCCCTGGCAAGTGCAAGGGCCTGAGTTCACTCCCTGGTTCCAACAACAACAGAATTTACAGTCATCTGTGCCTGCTTAGGCAGACTAGGGATCAGGTTTTCCTCAGCATGCTGTGCTGGCCCCGCCCCCAGGACAAGCTGAGACAGCAATTGAGACTGAGCATGGTGGGGCATGCCTGTAATCCCAGTGCTTGGGAGGCTGAAAACAGGAGGATCACTATGAGTCCGATCTACATAGTGAGTGCTCGCTTCAGCAGCACACATACTAAAGGTCAGGATGAAAGTACTACCCAGGCTTAGCTTTTACTGGAGAAGGATCTGCTTCACGTGAAGCTCTTGGCAGGATCACTTCTCTTTGGTTGTAGATCTGAGGTCCCCATTTCCTTGCTGGCTGTTAGCCTGGAGCAGTGGTGGTAAACCTATGGCACACATGCCAGCTGTGGGCTTTGTGTT